GGGGAGGACCAGGGAGGATGATTCAACCACTCAACCACTAGATGTCGCTGAAAACAACAAATCCTACACACTGTGCCTTTAACTAAACAATACTAAAGAGGATTAGGGTCAGTGAAAAAAATAAAATAAAATTCTCACTCAGAATCAAGGAATTCTGAGAAAAAAGTCAGATTAAAGTCAGAAGTTTTTTTCAGTGGCTCTAAACTTCTTTCATAAAACAACAACAACAAGCTAACATAAGGTTACCCTCGTGACTTAAGCGTCATACTGTTGGATGGTTTGATTCAATCTTCAGCAGTTTAATAATATGATCCCGCCCACATCAAGGCAGCATTCTGCTCAGTGCAAACACAACCAGGGCCTAGGAAGAATAAGACCAGGCCAACTGGAGTGTCGGTGGGCCGGGCCGAGCCGGGCCTTACAATGCAAAATCACCTATAGTTCCAAGATCAATCATTTCTCACCATAAATGGTTCAAGCCCTGTACGTTCACACCTCAGTCTTTGCATTGCTCAACATGATGTTGTTAACAATTAATAATAATCAGTTTTTGTCATTTGAAATGTGATTTATAATAGTTACATCTGCATTGTGATGCATCAGAATACAGAGCTTAGCAACATTATTAGAGGAAGTGCGTTTGTTTAAATCCTCAGACCGGAGAGGCATAGTGCAGTCAGACAACATGAATGAGCGGAGCTTATCCTCCTCTCAACAAGCAGTGGACTCAAGGTGCCCTTCAGAAAAGCTTGCAATCCTCCGTGGCTCCTCGGGGGGCTCCAGTGGAGCCGTCAGACGGGCTGTGGTGATACTGGGCGGCTCCCAGGTGGAACCACGAAGAGCGGCGTGAATGTGAATCAGGGCGTTGCTGCAGGACGAAGCAGCCATTGCCAGACTTCTTCATGAATACTGAACATTACTGCACAAAGATAAACTGCAAACTGAGACTTGGGATTAAACTGCAGCATCTGAACAACATGAAGGACGAATCGATTGAATGATGGTGGGTGGATGGATAGATACATTAATAGGATGAAGGGATTAAAGGGTGTAGGCGATGAAAGAAGGGAACGATGGGCTGGTCGATGAATTGACTGATTGCACACTAATGCTAAATACAGTTGTCGCCCACCGTTTGTTTATTTTACCACTAAGACTCAACATAATAAAAGCATCAAGCTGCTGTCTGCGTGTTTGATATGATTAACTTGGCAACAATTCTACTATAAATCAATATTTCAGTCAGTGAATTGATTTATTCTAACTTACTCTGCAATATGGCTGGATTCTTAGTCGTTGTCTTTTCTTCCATTTAGGTTCAAGTTGACCCAGATTGCAGTGGATACCTCTGCAGGACCGTATAAGAACTACACTGTGGTATTCCTGGGATCAGATAACGGACATGTTCTTAAGATCCTGGCCAGCACAGAAGGAGCCAATGCATCTTTCAACACCCAGCTCCTGGAGGATATTGATGTCTACAATCCAGACAAGTCAGAAAATACATCTTTTTTTATTCCATGTTTATTTGGGTTTGGGCTCTTTATTTTCCTCATAATGTGGTTATTTTTACTTTAATCATTTTCATGTTTTGATTTTTTTTACTTAGTTTCTCTGTTATGTTATTTTTTCTGCACTATTTCTTCTCCTCCTCCTCTTCCTTGTTCTTCCTTGATCTGTCCTTCCCACTCAGTCTTTAGTCTATTGTAACACTTTGCATCATCTTGTACAGCTGGAGGAGATGCTTCTTTTATGTTGTCTTTTGTGCGCAGCTTGAAAAGTGGATCCACGTGAAGTTTGATTCACATCAGACTCTCGGCATTATGAAAACTGTTTCAGTCATGTTCTGTTAACAGCAGATTGTGACAGTTTTTTTTAATTTTTTATTTTTAACTTTTTTTGTGTGTGTGTTTCCAGGTGCAATGTGCGGGGTGAGGACAGGAGGGTTCTGGGTCTGGAGTTGGACCGGGATCATCATGCACTGTTCGTGGCCTTCTCCAGCTGTGTAATCCGTGCGCCGCTCAGTCGCTGCTCTGAGTACAGCACCTGCAAGAAGTAAGTGACTTACACGAGTCTTATCAGGGACATGGTATGGGTTGGTCCACTTTGTCTCACTTCCAAATGTTAGCGTTTCCATTGCAAAGTTAATATTTTTAACTTTAGAGACACATTTATTAATTTATTCAAGCATGTAAGCAGTTGCACTATCTCTTCTGCTCTAAAACTGATCATTGAGAATTATTATGCTATTATGTTATAATAATGTTTTTTATTTTTTTTACAATCTGTTCAAAATGCACAAAACATTGTGTTTAAATCCTGACAACTAAACAGGGTTCTGTACTCTGTAACCAGTTTACATTGTGCAAAAGTAAAACCATTTTGAAACTATGAAAAGGCAGCACACAACCTGTAAGTGTTGATTTTTTTTTTAGTCAACAGCCTTTTCTTTTTTTTCTTTTTTTTTCTTTTTTTTTTTTTTTTTGGCAAACAGCATTTTGCCCCTGCTAATGTACTGGGTCTCCAGCTCCACGCTCTATTTTTAGGGCTGTGAGGAATGCTGGCCCCATGTAACCCCCCACCCCCGCCTTTTTTTTTCTCCCCCATCAAGTTGGAGGAATGACTTCTCCTCAAGGCTCTCTGGGACTGCAAATCCCCCCCATAGCATGTTAACCCGTCATTGCAAAAGCTTGGAGAAGTTCTCAACATTGTTTAGTCATAAATTGGATTCAGCTGATTGGCTGGCTGCCAGCGGTGGTGTCCCACCCCCACCCCCGTCATTTGTTTTATTTATTTATTATTTTCTGAAGCTGGAGGACAGAGAAAAAGCAGGAGTGAGGACTGGAGAGAATGGAGCTACAGCAGACCTCCTTCTTACATTAAGGGCCTCTTAAGCTGCATCAGCTCTGGCTAGGAGGTCATATTTCACCCCCACCCCACTACACCCCCACCCTATGTCCTCCTTTAACACACCAATGAATCCATCCCCTTCCAGATCAGATTTACCACATCTCTTTCTGCCTCCATTTTCTTTCACTCTTGACTTGTTTTTCTTTTTCTCTCTCGCTGTAGCCCGTATTATAAGGTTTGTTTGTTTTTCTTCTTTCTTATTTTTTACCCGAGGCCCTGCCGCCAATATTAGGTTTCAGAATATACTGTGTTTTGAACAGCAGCAGGGAAGTGTATGAAATTGGAATTTTAATAAACAAAAAATACAATAAAAGGGCAGAAGAGTCCCAAAACTTGAACAGTGTAAGATTCAGGGATTTTCAGCTTCGTTGGATGTTTCCTTTTTCATGAACTGATTGAACTTTTACATGTATTTTGTTTGTCTGGAGAACAGTTTCTCAAACAGCTACTGAAAGATGATTTTTAGGTTAGAGGTCATGACAGGGAAGGGCTCCTACATGCTACGTTTCTTTTCACAACATGGTAGTGATGGAGTGGATTCCAAGTGATCCAGTTTCAAAGCTGAGGAATCCCTTTGGATAATGTGATTCTTTCACAATCTTTACTCAGATGGTTTTAACCTAAAATAATGAAGACTTTAACTTGGTTGTAGAGAAAAGTAATCTAATTTAGACCCATTTCTTGAAAGAATGCATATCTCCCTCCACCGTTCTTACTGGAGTTTTAGACTAAGATCATCTTAAGATGAAAAATTCTGTTTTTGTCAAACCTTGAATGAGCTGGTGCTTGGAGTATTTGTTGTGAATGAATCTCAGCTACTCTTCTTGGATGTCACGTCAGAAATGACGACTACTGGTAGTGATGACTGGAGCTGATATGGGCAGCAAGACCAGCCGCCGATGGGCAGGGCCTTGAAGATATTATATTTTTGTGGCAAATCGACTGCATCTGTGTTTTTCGGGACGGGCTTGTCAGGTAGCATGTGCCTGATTAGTTTCAAGCAGCTCAACTTCCTTTACTACTTCGCCTCTCCAGAGTGGGCAGTTTTGCACTTGTAGCTGAAAACTTTCGGCAGCAGTGCCTCACTTCTTGAGGGACTCTTTCAGGGAGACCTTGAACTGCTTCCTGGGCCGTCCACCTCGGCGTTCACCACAGGCGAGCTCGCCATAGAAGAGTTGTTAGGGCATCTTAAGATCACTCATGGATGGCCAAGATGGCCTGACCATTGTAGCTGTTTTTTAATGATGGTGCTGTCCACCGAATGGCATTTTAGACAAAAATTTATCGCATTAACGATAGCATTGTTATCGCTAGTTACTTAAAATAGCACAAGTCACTCCTCACCTGGCAGATACAAGTCAACCATTTAAAGCTTTTTTGGATCCTAAATGTTTGACCCAACCTGAAACTAAATAATTGTAGCTTTGAGGCTTCTGAAAGCTTTCATCTGGCTCGTCGTAGAATACCAGGTCTGCAGCACCAGATAGTTTATGTCGATCACCTCGATACGGGTAAATCCTCCAGATTATAAAACAAGTCTATTTAATTAAGACAATATGGATCATATTCTAAATGTACGCATATTATATCTCATCTGTGTCATCACATTTAGGGCATTAGTGCACTCGCTGTGATACATTTCTGTGTTTTGAACTGGAGCAAATCACTTCCTGCCCCACATCTGAATTTTGCGCTTCATCCAGGTTACACGACCAACACCCAGCAATGGTTATCAGGATTTTATTCACTTTATATTTCTGTAGCTCTATGAAGTCACATAAAACTAGTATTAGCATATTAGCTGAAACACTTTCCAAATGCTCCTTCCAAGGTTTCTGGCAACACGGCAGCTGGAAGTTCTGAGGCTCAGCCTTCGAGACCCTCAGCAGTTAATGGATGTTCCTTACAGTCTGTGACTCCAGAAACCCTCCTCTGTATTCATCATGGTATGACAGAGCCAAGCCTTCAGATTTAAAGAGCAACAAGGGACAAACACAAATTCATGTTGGACAAAAAAAAACCCACACAGGCGACAACTTCAAACAACAAATGACTTCACTGAATGTTTTTAACGGAACTTACAGCTGGCCACTTCAGCCACGCCGCTGCAGGGCTGTCGTTCTTTTCTGTCAAATCACTGAAAATAAATGCCTCTGATGGAGAGAGAAGAGGCAGAATGGAGAGAAATCTGCATATATACCTTATGGCTAGTGCATGAATAATTTATTAAAGAAGCACTTTGTTATGCGTTGCCACATACTGGCAGTTACACACAGACGATGGTCGTTTCAGTTTTTCTGGAAGCAGACTTCCTCAGTCTGTGAACTGTGACATTCAAAGGAAATATTTTTTTTTCTTTTTTAATTTCTTTTTTTCTATTAACAACAAAGTTTAAGACTTTCTGTTCATTGTGACGTGACAGGATTGTTTAAATAAGTGCAAGCAAAATACAGAAAGTGAAATAAACAAGCACTGCTTTGCAGCACAAACACTGAGTTTTAATTAAATAAAAAACGTGTTTTTTTTTTTTTTTTTGTAATTATCCTTATTGCAACAATGATAAATTCAAGTCTTTGTTTCTTTGTGCACAAAATCCTCCTTCCAAATTCTTTCTTCCTAATCTGGAAATATAATTCGAAATTTAACACTTTTCAGTCACTTTTTTTATTTCTGTGTTTTTTAGTACAGTGTAGATTTTCTGACAGAAAAAAATACCATGCTATGTATTAAAACCCGTAATTTACTATATATTTAGTTTAGTTGCAAGCTGCAGGTGCAGCAGGGGATTAAATGTTTTCCTTTTTGATTTTCTTCTCCTCTGTGGCAATGCACTGATATGTTCTCAGTGGGATTCCTCACCTGACTGGGGATGAAGATGCACGTTCAGTTCAAATGCTCCTAAATCATTTCAGACTTTAGAATCTTGGTTACAGGATCCTCATTAAAACTTATTTCAACTCGACTGCCTTGAAGGTTTTCGGTTTGACACAGAAGGAAGCACAGGAGCCGCCATTGTTTCTGCCATTCTGTCGTCGCTGCGTACTTCATGCTCATTATGTTGTTGCTGCTGGGTAAATATCTCCGTATTGCAAACAATAAGTTCTGCAGCTCGCATTCGCCGACTCTCAGCATTGTTTTAGTGTTGCACAGCAGCAGGAAGAAGAAACACAAGATTCATGCAACTCGTTTGAGAGTGAAGAATTAAAACGCACCGACTTGGAGCAGACAGAAAAATCGGCCTTTTCAGCAGATCAGAGGAAAAGTTTAATCAACAGTAACGATGTCTGGACCCCGGGGTAGAGGAAAAGCATTGGATGTTGGGATTCTGCAGGGACCTTTACTGTAGGGAATGTGACTAATGGCTATTGATTACAGTTAATGCTGATGGCTTTAAGGGGAGGAAGTAAACAGGTCTACTCATCATGTTATTCAGTGAATCACTAAGCTGACGTGCAGCACAGTAAGTAGGATCAGGTGATTGAGTGAGCGAGCTTCTGACAGGAGACCTGCTGGTGGAGCGTGTGCTCTGCTCGCTGAATGAGGTCATTCATGGCTGGTCAGTGGGACGACTCGCAGAGCAGCTGATGATAAACTAAACGACCTTCTGGTTTTTTCTGGAAACAAAACAGATGCATTGTGCATATCTTAAAAACATAAAGACAAATGATGCATTCTAAACCAATATTTTATACAGAGTAGAGTAACAAAGTTAAGTTTGCTTACATAAAATGTCAATTTAAGTTTAAATATATGCAATTTAAAAATAAAATGCACATGTAATATAAATAACTCATTGTGAAATAAGCTGCATTTCTCAGTGGGCTTAATGAAAAATTAATATTCCAACTTTTTTCTTCATGATTCTAACAGGAGAATGTATGAAAGATGGTCTATTACAGTTTTTATGTGTTAATGGAAGTTTTCTGCCACATGGTAGCAGCTGAACAGATGAGTGAAGAGGGTGGGAGGGGCTTTCCTGGACATAAATTGATTATATAAGTGTCGAAGTGAGAGTTGCTTTGATCTTACTGACCACAGGGACGAACTGGTTTACTTTGTTTTGATGGTTAAATAAGAGCTGCATCAAGGTGTAATATTAAAGGTTTAAACCCTCACCATAAAGGACCTATAAGCCACGGCTGGGAATGTTTACAAGTATATTTCAGCTCTTTTCTTCCTACTTTGTGTGTTGGTTGGAGCTGGTTGAGTAATAGGCAAAATCACATATTTTCATATCTATTTTTATTATTTTATAATTTCATTTTATAAAATCAAAACTGTTACCTCTTAACCTTTAACAGTTAAGCCCTGAAATGTCACCTGCCAACATTAGGTGCTGTGCTCATTAAAGTGAGAATGAAGTCATAATATCATCGATATTTTAGATAATGTTGATCTCAAACTTGAAGTTAATTTTTGAACATTTCCAAAGCACAATTTAAATGTTTTCTTACTAATTTTGGTTATGCTTGTGATGTAAATGATTTAAACATTAAAGATGTAAAGTCTGCCATAAATGCACAAGAAAATAACACTTTTTAAAAATTGTTTTAACAAATGTAAGCAAACTCAAAGTCTGAAATCTCATAAAATCCATTGAGAATATGATCCAGTTTCTGTCTCTTTGCTCATCTCCATTCATCTCAGTTATGGAGAATGATGTGATGTTTGGAAACATCTCTGAACATTATTAAATGGGACTAATTACATGTGCTATTCATAGACTCTCTGCTGAAACTGTGTGTTTGTGCTATGTGCATTCATCAAGCTATAAAGCAGTAAATATGCTCTAATTAAACATCACAGAGCTCTATAAATCAGAAGAATTTGTAAGGAAACAAGTGTTCCCACTGAAAATAAAGCAGAAATTAAACCTTACGCTGAAAGAAAATATCATTTTTAACAAACTGTGTACCGGTTGCACATGGATCCAGTTTTTTCAGCTGTTGTTCAGCTGGAGTTGGGGAAAGTAAGGAGAGTTGTTGGGTTAGTTTGGTGGCAGTGTAGTGTCTCATTACCCAGCTAACATCCACTGCACTCTGTGATCTTCACACTCAATGTTCTCCTCATTTCCTTCTGTCACTAACAAACCACATGTGTGTCTGTTCTGCAGGAGCTGTTTGTCTTCACGGGACCCTTACTGCATTTGGCTCAAGTCAGGCAGCTGTGCCACAGTCTCACCTGGATTCAAGTAAGACACACACACACACACACACACACACACACACACACACAC